TCAAGTCCACAGTCAAGCAGCAGGCTGATATTCTGCTTGAAGTTAAGAATCAGAGTGAACTCAGGGGTCCCAACTGTGCCAAGAGTCCAAGATGTGAGCTCCTGTTAGGCACCTGGAGAGACTCTAGCCAAGCCAAGCTTTCCTCCTGTGGCTGTAGCCACATAAATACATTTTTTTAGTGTCCATAAACAGGAGATAGAGTTTGGCAGTGCAACTTTGTCCTTTTTAAGGCATGCAAAGCTTCCAATTCAACACACTCCCTGAAATGGAAAATACAAAGTGATATCTTTGCAAGTTGGTTCACCTATACTGTTTTAAAGCCTTGAGACAATTTCCCAGCTGTTTTTAATGTGAAAAGACCTACCTTGGGATAATATTAGTAATGTCTCTTTCTTCTGTGTTTTTCACCTGTGGCTTCCAAAATGCTTGTTTGTTTCACAAAAGACATTTCATTAAATTCATTCTTTATATTGATGACATTAAATCAAAGAGGTGAAGTGATGTGCTTAAAAAAGCTGTACAAAGGAGAACTGTTCCACCACACCCCCAGTCCAGGGTTCCAGTCTCTTGTTCCACTCAGAAGTGATTTCAACAAGGAAAGCCATATGTATAGATGACTAAAGGCCCATGTTTGGATAAGGACCTTCTCCACTTGGAAGAAGATTATAACTAAGATTAAAATACACAAAAAAACCATGGACACGCTGACAACTGTGGTACCCACCCATCTTGATGATTATTCTCCCCTACAGCTACCAGGCTGCAATCATGCCGGTTCTTGCCTAGTCTCCATCATTTCTATCTTCCTACCTCATGGCCAGTCTTTGGAAGTGTAAAACCTTTTATGTTCTCTTATGGGCTGCCTGCTGTGCAGCAGGGATCCAGTTAAAACCCTCTAAAAAATGAAACCAATAGATTTTAAAACTGTTGATGTGAGACCCCTTTACTGGCCACTCTCAGGTCAGGCTGTGACAGCTGCTGATCAGCAGCTGTAGTGGAAAGCAATTCTGGGTGTGCTATCAGAGCAGCGCTCAGAGTCCTATAACTGGGGATTCATCCTTCCTACCCTTCTCTTATCCTCTGGTCCCTGCCCAGCTGTGAGGCTGGTGTGTATCTAGACAGCTCAGCAGTTGAGTTGCTGGTGGTGAATGTCACAGAGCAGTTTACATGCCTCGTGCCGTAAGCCCTGCCAATGCCTAGTAAAACATGGTATTTCATGGAAGCGTATCAGCTCATTTAAAGCTTCTTTACCTGGTGCTGAGCAAACTGTTGCTGTGCTGCCTTTTTAATCAGTTACCGCCAAATGCGCGCACGTGTGAGAAGGGTTTTAAACATTTTTCTCTCCACTTCCAGGAAACTAACTGAGAAGCCTACAATCCTCTTATTACGCCTCCGAAACAGTGACCATTCACTGTTATCTACAGCACATGTTACGGTAGGGTATTCTGCAGAGCCGGGCTTATAGAACACATCCCTAATGTTTCTCGTACACCAGGTACGTATCAGTTAGACACAGACATACCAGGCACACACATACCTCTGAAGGAACGTATAACAGGATGTTCAGGAAGTTACACCTGATGCAGTGCTTTGTTTGCAGGTTGAAAATACAAGAGATGCTCCCGCAGTAACCATTACTGATACAGTGCTAATTGAGGCCCGAGACATTCATGCAACCGTGTTAACTCTCTATGTTAGAAGAGGCCAGAAATTCAACACTCTGCAGGATGCTATTATTCCACCATAGTATCTTGCAAACATATACGGCCCTGCACAGACTGATGGAAGATTCATCACTCCTGGATTTCATTTAAATAGCACAGCCTCAGGGGCAAATGTATTTTTTTTTATAGCATATACTGGGTATAATCCTCTAAATTCTGAATCTTTGAGGTGTTTCATTTAGAAGAATACATTCAGTCATGCTAACTGGAGTAATTCGGAACAGAGTTCCACTTTTAATGATACCTTTCCTTCCTTTGTTTTAATTTTCATATTGAAAAAAGTTACTGTCCACACCAACAATGTCAGAATTCAAATAACGCTTCTCAGACTGACAGCCTATGTCCCATTTTCATCTGTGTAAGGTATCGATTTATCTCAATAATTGCAAAGTATATTTCAGTCACACAAGTCTGAACAAAATGTATAATCTTAGCCAATGTAGAAATGTATCTATTACAGGCGCACATAGAGGTTTGTATGGAACATAGAGTTACCATGTAAACCCTGAGGAACATGAAAAGATTTACAAAAAAACCAAACCAACAAACCTAATCCACTTATGTAACGGCATGAAAGGGGGTACTACTATGATCTTATTTGTCACGAACGCTGTAAAGGTAAGAAACTGACAGGTAGAATTACAGGCCACCAGTGCAAATAGAAGACTATTCAGAATTTGTTCAGTTTTCTCACTTGTGAACATGAACAACATTAGGCTAAATTAATATTTTTGTAGAACCTGGAGATCCTACTTTATTTTGCTTTCTACATGGGGCCAGTATGGCTAGTTTCTGAAGGGGGGGCGCAACCCGCTTTGTAGTCTCTGCTCAAGACCGCGAGTTCCCTGAATTTGACGCTGAGTCTCAGTCTGCACTTCTTAATCCAACACTAGAAGCTTTGAACAATTCTAGCCTCCCTGATCCTGTTTCTATTAAGAACCAAACAAAACAAAAGCCCCGCAACCCAATAACATCACAGTGGGATGAACAAAGTCCTAAGAAATACATCTTTGGAGGCAGATTTGCCGAATACTTGCCCTATCAGTTCACGGGTTTTGGGCTCACTGTATTTCCTTCATTTATTTGCTTGACTTGCTGCCTGCGTGTAGCTAGATAGTTAACAGAAGCATGCCTGTCCTTGGAGGCCAATATGAACTGACTGGCTGTGTCTTTGGTTCAGGTCCATTAAAAAACTGAGCATTAATTAATCACTGACTTGCAAATAGCTTGGAAGAGCTGTTCAGGGTAAATTGGAACATTCTGCAATTGTTTTACTTTTGGTCACAGGCACTTCGGTGATGGGAAACTTCTCCCCTGCCAGAATAGGATGTGCATAAATCCAGCCACTCCTGTGTTAGAGCAGACCAGCCTAGAGACTGCTTCAAGCAGCTCCATTTCTTTCTCTAACGAGGAAACTGCACACACGAGGAAGAGCTGTCATAAGGAGCACTCTTGATAGAATCCCTCCATTGGAAAGGAAATAATAAAACCTACCAGGGCAGAATGCCAGTGGAGCGTACGACACGGGCAAAGAGCCTTCCCTGCTTGCTGCCTGCCAGGCCAGTCAAAACCAGCTTCTCCTCCTTTTTCACTCAGCTAGGGGAAACCGTACCTGTAGAAATCAAGCTGCTGCCTGAGCTTTCCATACATCGCCACCAAGGAGGATCTCTGTGATCTGGGGCCCATTTTCGGTGCTCTGGCTGCTGGTGGCCACAATGAATGAACTGAGAATGATGCAGCTCTGTTTGCAGAAGGCAAGCCAAGGAAATAGATAGAGATGTTAGAGCCCACACCTGAAACCTCGGTAATGTGAAGCACGAAACAAAAATCTTTATGGAAATGGAAACCAAGCCAGCATGACCTACAAGTCACGAAGAAAAATGTATTCAAGGGAATCATGATCTCATTTGTATAGGGACTCTTCCCACTCCTCACGGCAAAAACTGCTCTTGATAAATAAGGAAGATAAATAAGCAGTCGTCAGTACAATGAGTGCTAAGTGAGGTGGAAAATGAAAGGTGAAACTAAGGCACGTGTTCTTAGAATGCCAAAATACCAACATAAGAAAATAAATACCTAAACCTAACAGCAATGACATTTATTTTCCTCAGTAGCCAGATATACTACATCTGTGTATGTTGCAAGAAGCTATTCCTTGGAAATAGTTAACCTTACTGGGCAAAAAGAGCTTGTATTCCAAATGCTCAAGTCTGATAAGTCACCTTAATATATTCATCCCTCTTTTTCCCCCAGATTTCACTTTCAGTGGAAAAGCCGAACCATAAAACCCCAAACGATTAAGAATTACTTTCCTTGCTCCCTGTTTCTTGCTCTTATTCCCACACGGTGTGCACATATGCATGGATGGTGAAGAATTATGTCTCATATGAAAATTTCCCCCTCGCTACCCTAAAGCTGTAAACCTTCCCCAACTTCTGAAATGCAGTGGAGAGGCAAATAGGCAATCACAGCTAATCTTTCTCCCTCTGCAATGTTTCTAAACCTGTGGAAATTTCAAAAGCTACCAAGAGAGAATGACAGAATGAAATAATACACCCAAGCTTGAAGTATGGGCACCGGTTATTTGATTGAGCATGGTGACAAAAAGAAAAAGAAAAACATAGAAACAGATCATAAGACCAGTCAGAACAATTCTACAAATTGTTGATACATTGAGATAGCCAGATGGATATGTATTTTTTGAGGAATGAGACACTGCTTCTATTGGAGCACTCGAAAACGCGAACAACTTTGTTGGGTTTGTTTGCAGAGCTCGCTTTCCACTTCTTTGTCAACTGGTATTGAAGACCTGGCCCTGAGGCAGCTGCAGAACCTAATGGATGCTTTAGAGCCTTTTGGCTGCAGTTCAAAGGTGGAGAAGATATTTTAACTCAGTACCAAAGATGCACTTTCAACTTGCTATTAAAACAATAATACAAACACAAGGATAATGAGAGCATAAGGAGAGAAATGAAGAAAGAAATGGAAGACCGTGGAAGGGAATGGATCACAGGCTCTCCAGAACTAGTTTCTGTAATAAGTGTGTGAGACAATCTCCTACAAGAGGGAAATGGCTTATTTGATCTAATATACCATTCTCTTCTTGAATTTCCACAGTATGGAGAATCAATATGAGGGAAATTAAAGCATCGGGAGCAGACTCACATTTCCACTTGTGTGTTCCTATCTCAGCAAACTCTTACTGAGATCGAAGTATTTACCTTAAGTGCCCAGTTCATGTGTGCTGCAAGAGCAGGAAGGATTTCAAAAGGATACATGCTTCTTCTGTGTAGGGGACAGCAGTAGTAGGTCCATCCAATACGTAGCTGTAGAATGAGACTTCCAGAGTGTAGCAGTAGGATGTATCATTTAACAGCCCACCAAGAAAGCGCCGTCCTGTCCCTGCTTTCACAGCGTCTCTGTTGAACGATGTACTGGACTGCAGGCGGAAGAACACAGAGCCATGAAGGGAGTTCATGAGTGGAACAAGGGAAGTGTTGGGAAGGAGTCTGTTAAAATAGAAAACAGTTACATTCACATTGCCAAATTTCATTTGCACTATATGAGACTGCACTATTTTTTGAGCATGGTCTGGAGAGACCATTAATGGAAACACAGATCTGGCACACAGACTATAAATAATGCCTTGCAGACTTTCACAAAATTAATCTCAGTTTGCTAGTAACATCAGCTTTTCTTTGAATCTTCCAGACCCTCCATTCTCAAAAATTAAGCTTGACTATTGTTTGGCCATTGCGTTCCTTCACTCTACTGCATTCCCCTCTATCATAACCGTTCTCCTCCACCCCTTACCCTGGACTCTTTTAAGCAAAGTAGAAATACAGTGGCATTTATGTTTTAGTGAAACTTTCTCACCTAAGACATTTGACTGGTTCTTAAATTAGGTCACACAAATTTCCACTTCACTAACTTAAATGTTAACTGGGTGTCGCTCTCTGGGTGGAAAAATATACTGCGCTATTTTACAGCATTAGCAGCACGGTATAAAAGGCAGTATTTTGTGCTATTACTGAAGATCTGGCTTTAAGAACCCTACAGCTTTATGACTATTCATTTGAGGGGTGGAGGGGAGGACTCCGAGTATTTCCATAAATGAGTTTTAGCTCTCCTTTGAAGGCATGACATCTGGAGACTAAAAGGGAGCTCATCTTCAGGTTGATTGAAGTCTCAGAGCTTGTTCCTACCAACTAGACAGAAAAATGGATTCTGATTTCATTTTGGTTATCTGACTCTATTCACAAACCTCATAACCATTAGACTGAGTCAATCTGGGCTCGGCACAAGCTAGTGACTAGCACCAAAAAAAAAAAAAAAGAAGAAAAAAGAGCACTTAGTAGATCCAGCTTGGATCTGTTGCATGAAAGGACTTAATATCTCCTGGTTTAAGACTTTTATGTTGCTAGTGAAACATGAAGGACCCTTAACACAGACCCTAACTCGGTAAATTCTTTGAGCTACCCCGTGCCCTTCTATTGAACCTTAAGGCTAGTACCTTTTCTTGCTAACACAATCTTAGTATTTTTAAGTCCATCTCTTATCAAAAACAGGGGAAATAAGATTTCTTTCTTATTTAAAAAAAATAGATGCAGTGGTTCAAAATGCTAGACTTCTCTAGACCAAGAAAATCAAAATAATACTGAAATGAGCGACAATTCTTGATGAATGGCATATACCAGAAGATATAAAGAATGGAAATACCTGTGGGTTTATTAACATTCTGAATGTTTTGAAGTCTCTCTCATGTTGTAAAAAGGGAGACTCTCCAGGTTAATTAGAATAAGATGGAATTGGGTTTCTTATTAGCATTATGTAAAGGAGTTTCCAAATGCAACTTGTTGTCTTTGTGGTAACATAATATTTAGCTTTGTGGTAGATGGTACACAGAATGTATTCTGCTGTGTATATATATCATATAATTTCCTCCAAGTTACAAGGCAGGAACCTTGAGGATATTCTGAATACCCATGGGACAGGGAGGTAAAGCTCTCATAAGGACTGCCAGGGAAATTAATTGTTAATTTGATATATGGAATAAAATACTTAAGGAGGTCTGCAAGAGGGAATGTTCTCTGACTTCCTGCAAAAGAAGCCTTCAAAAGACTACTGAGACCCTGCAACTGAGGGATGCTTTATCTACAGTTAAAATTCAGAAACATAAAGGAAGACGATAATGCTCTGGGCATTGCTTCGTAAGTCAAGAAAACGTTGATTTTAATGGATAGTTCTTGTTCAAATGAATGCCTGTGGTGGAACTTTTAACGCACAAAAGGATCAGCTGATGAATATGGGTGTATGGAGCCAGCTCAAAGGAAGAAGACAACAAATGTGTCAGAACATGGTACTGTGGTTTGTGAGCAGAAGCATCACTCACAAGGGGAATGAACTAGTTCTATGGCTGTATTTGGCACAATGAAAACAAGGAAAATATAGGAGAAGTGATTCAGGGCAGACATTAGGGATAGAAGTACTCCAGTGATTAGGAGACTCAGTTACTGATATGGAATATCTATGAAGATTATGGAATCTCATCAACTATGTTTAAGAACAAATTGGACAAGTATCTGCTGAGTATAGTTCATGTCTTTGGGATACAGTTTGGACACAAGGTCCTCTTCAGCTCTATTTCCCATGATTTCAATCAGGCTAGAGGAAGGTTATGAGTTGAATTCCTCATAGATGATTCTTGAGATAAATCTTACATAATATTTTCATCACAGTTCTTGGCATGGTAAAGGAGGACCATGCCAAGAAAATTTGCTGATGACACACTGTGGAATGAATCATCATTATGGAGGAGGCTGTGAATATCGTACCAAAAAAAAAGCAGTAGGATGACTTCGAGGACCAGAGTGATAGTAATGAGATGAAACTCAGCTGCACGAGTGCCAGGTCATGTACTCAGGGCCTAATAAAAAACAATCTCTGCTATAAGCTGAAACCTTATCAGCTGGAAATAGATGAAGAGAGAGTCTGATGTATTACTTCACTGAAGTGATTTTTGCTTTCTGGCAGAAAATAGCTCAAAAGTTGGATCTGATTATTGGCAAAATTATACTTGCCATATTTCAGAAGTGAAGCATAAGCAGTTTAAATAATTTGAAGAAGGGTTTGCAAATGGCCAAAAAAAGAAAACACAATTTGGATCTTTCCAGAGTTTAATTTTTTTTATAATGCTATTTTGTGCAGTTTGGGGTTTTTGGTTTTGTTTTGTGGGGATTTTTTTCTTTCTTTTTGTTTTGTTTAATAGAAAAGTTCCAGTTTCAGCTGTGCAAAATTACTTGAAATGGCAATGGCATTAATAAAATCACCTGTTCATTTCTTTGCCAGGTAGTGCTGCGCTTCCAGGAGTAAAAAGAAGCTGAACCTTCATTTAGGTGCATAAATGTAGGTTTTGGAGGTTAAATTGCCCTCATTAAAAAAAAATAAAATATCCGAAGGTATGGACCAGCTTGATGTCTTGACTAAAAAGTAAGATCTCTGCTTTGACTGAAGAAGATTGGGGTAGAGAAAACATAACGTAAACCTTTCAAATACGAACACATGCACGTTTTGAAACAGCGGTTTGGGATTAGCTCTAGAGCAAATGTTATAAGCCGGAATGAGATTTGATGTTTTAGACAAAAAGAAGAAAATTACAGATTCAAGAAAATTCAACTAATGACAAGGAAGGGCAGCAGGTACTTGAGTCCAACCTTCTACTCACTGTTTCAAGTCAAGATAAATGGAGTGGAGAAATAAACAGGCAAAACTTTGACTCCTCACCAGAACTGATCTTGGCAACTGATAATGCTGAAACAAAGGCAATGAAAAGCCATGTATTATCATGGCAAAGAAAGAGCCTTTTGCACACACATTTATTTAATCAAACTCTAATCTGGGGAAAAGAGGTGGGGGGAGAGAAGGGGGAAGGATTCGGGGCAAGAGGGGGGAAAGAACACAAGTAAAGTTGTCCAAAAAGGAGTCTTTTGCTTCTCTGGGAGAATCTACTGCCCTAAAACCCTTTGCAAGGCTGAACTGAAATCATCATTAAGCAAATGCACTGAGCAGGCACAGCAGGAGAACAGCAGAACAGCTAAACAAATATTTATCTCTCCAAGGCTGAATCACATGGGAGTGTCAACAGCAGGAAAAAGTACAAACTCTGGAGGGTGGGGGGAAACACCAAAGACTTTGAAGTTCTTAAACAGGGATATTTGTATAAAATCAGCAGTAACTCGTTATTAAAACACACAGATACATTAAAGCTCACAGAAGGACTCAGCTTGTGTGAGAAAATTCAGTGAACAAATAGCTATCTACAGGATTACGAGGTGCCAAGCAAAAAGAATCCAGTGTTAAAAGAGCAGAGCAGGAAGGGTGAAGGATTACCCCACTTTCTGGTGGGAAGAAACCCGCCAGAAAAATACACCTGGATTTCACACACATGTGGGAACCTAAAGGTGCGCTGACCCTCTCTCTACATCTTGGGCATCAGTGGCAGCTTCCCCAGGCCTTCCTACCAAATTTCATTCCTCCTCCACATGCTTTGCCGAATACCTTCTGTATGACCAGTTTCCCTGTTGGGAATGACAGTGAACAGCCAGGCAGCACAAAGAAACTTGTAAACCAATCGGACCTTATTCAGACATTGCAGCAGACAGAGAGATGTGTGGAAGAAAATAAGAAAAAAAAAAAATTACATGCAAATTCTTTCTGGAGTGGTCTCAAAGCAGAAGAAAAAACTTGGCCCTTGGTCAGACCTCTCAATGTGCCAGAACTGTCTCCAGGGCAGTCTTGTCTCTTGGTTGGTAAGGACACTCTACCACTCAGTGTCTCTCCTCATTGAATTCAGCCCCCTGGTTAACTATCTTACAAGCTCAACAGCTTAGGCAGCTCCCACATGGCTGAGGGATACTCTTGGTTTCTCAGCACTGCTCCATTGTTGCGCTAACAACTACTGGAGTGAATGCTCTGAACAGTCCGTATTCACAAAGTAAGGTCAGACAGGTTACTGATAGCCTCTGCATGCCTGTATCAATCTCTCACACAAGCGGCTCCAAAAGATAGAGAGGGAGAAGAGCGCATTTCTGGCACATCTAAGACTCAATTTGCCACCCTTTGGCGTCCTGATGGACTTGGAATTCGAGTGGTTCTGCTTGGTGGGAGTTTCCACATGTGTGACTTCACAGGGGACTTGCTACGGCATCAGAAAACCTCAGGTTGCACAAAAGGAAAAATTAGAGGCAAACCCCAGTAAATCTGGGTCCACTGTTCAGTGGAAGAAGAGATACCAAAAAGGGCTGAGATGTCAAGAAGTGTCAGTGTTGGATGGGAGCTTCAGTTCTACCTTTCACTGGTGGTGGGGCAAAGGGACAGAGTACAAAAGGGTACTTTCTCATACAGGACTTGTTGGGGAATGAATCTTTGTTGTCTTTTGAA